GCCCTGCTCCGGTGGCGCAACCGAAGCGAAAGAATCGGGGATGGACAGACCCCCCTTTAGTAAAACGTGGTTTAGTGAAAACGACCTGAGGCCCAAACCTGGCGGGCGCAAGCCTGGAAAATAACGGCCACGGCGCCCTCTCGAGAACCGAAAACGGACAATTCACTAATCGACGTGTCACTGTTGGGGGTTCTGTCCGCCCCCGAAAGAAAGAGAGGGAAGCTCGACGGAAAGTCGGCGGCGAGCCCAGGGGGGCAAAAGCGAGAGGGGGCGGGCCTCTCAGAGGGCTCGGAGGTCCCCCCGGGCCTTCGGAGGAGTGTCCGAAGCCTTCCCCGAGGACACGACCAAAAAAACCTCGCAGAAGGCGCCAGGGCTTCTGAGAAGTCCCGCCGCCTTCTGAGGAGGCCTTCTCCTTCTCACTTCCCCCCCTCGCTCGCCGCCGAGGAGGGCCCAAACGTGCCCCCAGGACGACGTACCCCCAGTGAGGTGTCGCAGCGGCCCCAGTGCCAGCCACGGTGGGCGCCCCAACGCAGCCGTTGGGCGTCCCGAGGTGGGCCCTGGGGCCCCCCTCTCCTCCTCCTCCTCCTCCTCCTCCTCCTCCTCCTCCTCCTCCTCCTCCTCCTCCTCCTCCTCCTCCTCCCCGTCCTCCTCCTCCTCCTCCTCCTCCTCCTCCTCCTCCTCCTCCTCCTCCTCCTCCTCCTCCTCCTCCAGTGCAAATCTGTTCGGGGGTACGTTTTCGGGGGCGGCCAGGAGGAGGGCGTCCGACAGGGGGGGGTGCAAATCATGGCTGGCGGCACGTGCGCGGACAAGGGGGGCCAGGGAACGCATTGAAATAATACGAAGAGGCACCATGAAGTCTGGGGAGATCTCATGGCCCCCGCCATGATATCCCCCTCCCCCTAGTCATCACCCCCCACTTGGCCGCCCCTGACGTTTGGCCTCCAATGAGGAAGAGCTGGGATGCCCGCGGCAAGGGCCGACAGCGCCGACGACACCGCCACCCTTGCTCACGGCGGACGTGCAAGGCACCGGCGCACGTGCACGATGCTCAAAGAACGAAACAACGGAATACGTACTCACAAACTTTCGGAGTTCTGCGCGGATGTCTTGGATCGGCGATGGGTCCCCATTTCTGGTGCGCGGAACGCGCCAGCGACGACGCTGAGGCGCCGCCAGGCTACGAAACCCAGCGCCGATCCAAGAGATCCGCGTGGAGCTCTGAAAAGTTCATGTTTATGCAGTTGTTTGTTCTTCGAATGCCGCCGTACACAGGATATAGAGGCGAGGGTGGGGAGGAGGAGGAGGAGGAGGAGGAGGAGGAGGAGGAAGAGGAAGAGGATATTCAAGACCTTGTCCTCAAACTTCCTCTCCTTCTCGTCCGTTCGCCTGTCTTTTTCCCTCTGCTGTCGTTTGCCTCCCAACTACCTTTTGCAGTGTGCCTCCAGGGGCGGCCGCCCCTGGACTTACTGGTTTAATCGGCCCCCAGGGCAGACCATCTCTGGGGCGGGAGGGGAGCAACGCTCGACGAACTCTTCTGCCCAGGGCTGACCTAAAACTTAAAGGGTACTTTCCGTTTTCGTGTAGTTTTCGTGTTCCCTCGTTTCGTTCTAATTCCCCTCTTGCTGCAAAACGAAGTCGAAACGAACACGGCCCACGAAATCGCCAAGACATCGTTTAGGTCCACCCCTGCTTCTGCCTTTAGGCTTGCAGGTGCTCTCAGGAGGACGAGACGGCGAGGTGCAGGCGTGAGAGGGGCGGCGAGCGGGCAGGAGCGCCTGGTGCCCCCGAGCCCCGGTCTTGAGCGTGACTAGATGGGATGAGGGGAGGGGGGAGAACGGTGCCCTTTTCGGACCCGAAAGGCTCCCTTCTGGCCCCTCGAGGGCCCCTCGAGGGGCCCTCAAGGGCCCTTTTTTCGGCAGCCCTCGCTGCCCCCCCCCCCCCCCTCTATATCCCAGGGAGACGTAAGACTCGAGTTCGGGGGACGCAGGCTGGCCTCACAGGGGCCGTCATGGAAATGACGAGACCGCACCCGGACTTTGAACCACAAGAGAAACCTTCCACAGGAGACCCAACCCTGAGACCCCAGGACGTGCGCTGATTTTTGGTGGGGGAACGCCACGCTGTCCACAGCAAAACCATCGAAGCCCAAGGACCCCACGGCACCCACGAAAGGCAAGCATGGTGGTGGCTCGTGGCATGGATTTCCACTGCATCGCCCCGCAGTGCGCGTTCTCCGACGGCCGTGCGCCCCGGAGTCCCTCCAGGGCGGCTCCGGAGGGGCGCCGCCGGCGGGCCGGGGGGCGGTGGCATGGGGTGGGGGGGGGAGCGCGGGGTGCGAGCTATGCGGCGAGGGGCAGGTACGGCGTGTCCTCCTGCAGGGGGGGATCTTTGGACGAAGGACAAAATGTCAAAACATATGTCTAAACATACCCCGAAAGAAAAAAGAAAAACATAAAAAATGTCAACACGAACAAGAAAAACGAGAAAGAACCAAAACGAAAAAATGTCAGAACGAAAAAGAAAAGGAAAAAATGTCAAAACGAAAAAGAAAAGCTGTCAAAACATATTTTTGGACGAAAAACATCGTCCCCATACGATGTCTGAACTTCATCTCTGGATCCCGTCGAGGGACAGGTCCGGCGGAAAGCTGCGGCGAGGGCCCCGCCGCGCGCCGAGGCTGGGGCGCGCCGGGGCTCTCCGAGGCCCCCTCGCGTCGCGGGGGAGAGACAACGGCGAGAGGTGCTGCGCGCCGCCTTCTTCGGTGGGCTTGCGGGGGTAGTGACTACCTACCAGACCACCCCAACCCAACCCGAAGACCCGACTTTGACCCGAATTTCGGGTTGGGGGGGGTACGGGTTCCATGTGTTTTTTCAACGTTCCCCGACCCCCCCCCCACTGGAAATGGAGGGCAAATTGAGGCCTTCGGGTTGGGTTGGGGTGGTTTGGTAGGTGGTGAGGTAGGTTCAGATAAGGATGCCTTCGATGAGGAGCCCAGGGTCTCGCGACCGAGGGGCGGCCAAACGTGGGCCACCCACCTCGCCTTGAAGCAATGAGGGATGCGCCAGGGTCTGGGCCCCAGGAAGGCGTTCCTGATGCAGTGCCGCCGCCGCCGTAGGTTGCTCCCATCGCACTTGAGGGCCAACTGCCCAAAAGAATGTCGAGCTCCCAGAAAAGCGTCGGAACAGTGTCGAACGAGCATCGCCTCCCAGAGCCCGACACGTGAAAACACTCTAGTTTCGGTACTTCCTTGGTGAGCGAAATTATTTCTGGTGATCGAGGCTAAAGTGGGTTGGAACATCATCACGTTGGGCACCAGTGAATGGGGGGCGATAACTGGGGGGGGGGGGGAGAAAAATACCCTCCTCGGGCCCTGAAGAGATCCCCTTTCTGGGACCTGCAGGGCCCCGTGCCCTCCGTGGCCTCCTTTCTGCAGCCCTCGCGGCACCCCGCCCCCAACGTGTCGCCCCCGCCGTTGCGCGCAACCCCGCCTTCGGCCTCTGGGGGCCCCCGCCAGGCTCCACAAGGCCGTCCGAAGCGGCTCGGGAGGCAAGGGCGGTCCCGGGGAGCGGGTCGGGACCTCCGGGGGTTGACTTGACGACAGGACCATGACGTGGGCAAGAGAGCCCATCATCGAATCGAGAAGTCGCATCGCCGATCGATGTGAATCGGGTCGGCGAGAGGCGGCAGCCGAGTCGGGAGAAGCCGAATCGGCGGAAATCGGCAGGCTGGCAGGCCTCCGTGGAAAAACATAACCCTAATCGGAATCCGAAACCGAATCGAACGGGAACTGAACGCCATCGAAATCGAATCGAATCGGAGGAATCGGAGGAATCGAAAGGAGCCCTGCGTTGGGATCTGGAGCGCGGGTGCCGATCAGACTCGCTGCGGGTCCGCGGCGCGCGCTCCGAGAGGGGCGGTGTGAGGAGGGCGGCCTTTCCAAGAGGGCGGGGGGCTCCCAAGAAGGCGGGCGGCTTCCTGGAAGCCCTCCCGGCTTCTCAGAAGCCTTCCTGGAAGCCCCCAGGCCTTTAGAGTTAGGTCGGGTATGTCCCCCTACGGGCGGATTTGGGACGAAAAAGAAAAACTACCCCCAGAATCCTCGAACAGAGTCAAGAAATGATAGAAACATCGTCCCCGTACCATTTTTGCACTATCCCCTGCAGAGGGACACGCCCGACTTAACTTTAGAGGGCGAGAAAACGGCAGAAGCAGAAGCGTTTGGAGGCCAGCGCGGATTTTTCCTGGATCGGCCGAGAGCCCCCCCCCCCCCCCCCCCCAGCGGTGCCTCCTCGGCGCCGCCCCTGGCGCGCGGAGCGCGCCAGGAAGGAGTTCAGAAGACGCTCCTGGGAGCCTTTCGTAATCACCTGAGTGGCCGCAGTGGCTCCTCCAATGGCCACCCCCCGCAAGCCTAGAGCCGCCTCCAGTGTCTCCCCCAGTGGCCCCCCCGCGGTCTCCAATGTCCTCCAGTGGCCTCCCGCAGCCCCCAGTGGCCCCCAGTGGCCTCTCGTGGCGCGAGCAAACGACTGTGGACCACCGGAGGCGCAGGAAAGCCAGGCCAAATGATAATACGGGGCTCCCAGGATCGTCTTCCGAAAAGGAGGGTCCGGCGCCGATCCCCAAACCGCGCGGAGCTCCCACAAATGGTGTCTTTGCCGTGCTCCCTCGTGCGACCCCTCGCGCAGGAAGGCCCCCGCCTTCCGAGAAGGGCCCCCCCCCCCTTTCCGTGCGTGCCGCCAGGCCTTGGCTGGCGGAAACTGGGCTCACATCGTAAGAAGATTTCCTCAGCCTGGCGAGCTGTTAGGCCGCGCGCCGGGGGAACGCTAATTCGGTGCTGGGCACGCAGGGGCCGACGCGCAAGCGCCCTCTCGCGCTTGCAGCTGGCATCCGTGGTGGCCAAGTCTGTACAGGGCCCCGTGTTAGGAAGAAGTCCCGGCAAAGAAGATGTCGCTGCCCCGCTGGCGAGGCCCCCCACCCCCCTCGTGAATGTCAGTTTGCTGAATAACCAACGCGTGCCTCCCCGAGGCCAGCAACCCGTCTTCTCGTAGGGCCAGGTGGAGCCACGCAGCGAATTCGGCAGGAAGATGTGCGCAAACTGCCCTGGCTCCAAGTCATCGGCAAGGCCGCGAGCAAGAGAACGCTGCAAGAGGCGGGGACAGGCCGGACCGTGTTCACAGAAGAAGATAAACGGCATGAACATACACTTTTGGCGCTCCGCGCGGATTTCTTGGATCTACGCTAGACCCCCCTCTCTGGCGCGCGCAGCGCGCCAGGGGTTGCGCTGGAGGCGCCGCAGGGGGGCCCTAGCGTGGATCCAAGAACCCCGCGCGGAAGGCCAACAGTTCATGCTTATGCTTATTGCGTTTTTTCTTCTTCGAGTCCAGCACCCCCACAACTAGAATTAGGTCGGGTCTGTCCCCCTACAGGCGGATTTTGCACGACAGATAGAAAACAAAAATGCCCCACACATGCTCCAGAATACTCAAAGCATAGTCTCCCAATTAGTTTTCTATTTTTTAATACTCCTCCTCTAGAGGTACAGGCCCGACTTAAAACTAGAAACGAAGAATCGGTTTGGACGCCCGGAATGCGTACGGAAACAATGGGCACAATGCCCAACAACAACCATCGTCCCAAACCAAGAGCGGCCGCTGTTGGGCAGGCGGCCTCCTGCCTCCAATGTACATCGGCCGCGGCGACACCGACAGCGAGTCCTGTTCAAAATGAACAGGAACCGCTGTTGGGCATCGTACGGCAGGTTCGTGTCGTGCCGACCCCAGCGTTGGTTTTTGACACCGCAGGGATCGTTCAACCTTGAACGATCGGCCGTCTCCGCAACGTCCAATCGTTCAACATCGACCGATTCTGGGCCGCCGTCGGCGTTCCACGTTGAACGTCGGCGGCGGGGTCGCCGCCGGTCGACACGACGCGAACCTACCGTACCCATTCTTTCCGCACCCATTTCGTTCGTACCGAATCGGGACACGGAGTCTCAAAGGCGCTGCGCGGCACCGCAGGCGCACAGGAGCCTGCGCCGCCGGGAGGGGCGGCACGGCGGGCGCCGCCCGGCCTGGCCGGGGCGCCACGCCGCCGGGTCCACGCGACTGCCGCTCTTGAGCAGGGACCGACCGTCCTGGCATCCTTGTAGGCCTACCGCGGAATGTTCTTAGAACATAAGGATGCGCCGAGAACCCAAACGATGTTCTCAGAACAGGAAGCCGAGATGTTGAGACAAGGCCGTCTCAGCCAGACCTGTTCTGAGAACATGTCATGCAGACCACAAAACGAATCTTGGAACACTCCTCGCCGGGCCTACATAGGCTAGCCAGGACGCTTCGCCACTGCTTGACGCTCGGGCCCCTACAGCTTCCTGACGAAGACGGCGTCCCGAGACTCGGACTCTCGGAGTGCCTTCGAGCCCTCCACCAGCCACTCGCTGCCGTCGCCCCAAAGGATGCCTGGCGGCTGGGCCCTCCAGTAGCCGGCCAGCCTCGAGAAGCCGCCCGCCGCGGAGTAGTTGGCGACGATGGTGCCTCCCATGAGGGCCACGGTCCCTGGGAAGGGCCATTCGACGTCGCCCCCCAAGCGATGGCAAACGCCGTCGGCGGAGCCAGGAGCGAAGCCGGTCACTTGCCCCGTGCGCCCGCCTGCATCGACGGTGATTTCCCGCCTGCAGTGGTGCGTCATCTCCACGAACCGGTTCTCGAAGACGCTGGAGTCAACGCAGCCACCGTAGTCTGTCTTGGCGGGGCCCACCAGCCCGTTGGTGGTCCAGACCCGCTCCAGCCAGCAGCTCGACTCCTTCCGTCGGGTCACCTGAATGCCTTCGCTGGGCTGCAACATGACTTCACTAGGCCCGTTGCTGTCGACACCGAAGCCAAAATCGCGGAAGGTGATCCCGAAGCGTTCCTCGTAGCCTGCTCTCCACTCGAAGTTGTCAACGAAAGACCAAGCAAAATACCCCCGAACGTCGACGCCGTCTTCAAAGATCGCCTTCCGCATCTCGGACGTGTACATGGCGTAGTACTCGACCCTCTGCTGGTCCTCAGCACCTTCCGTGTCGTTGTCCGCCCCTATAGACCACCCGCTCTCCGTGATGTAGATCTCTGGGTGGTGGTAGCGGCCATCGACGTGGTTCAGGAGCTTCCGCAACCCCCAGGGCGCCGCGTACAGCCACGGGGACTGCGCCCGCATGAGTCCGTCGTGAGACTGGTTGACACGCTGGGGGTTCCACGACATCTCCACCTCGTCGGTGCTCGCGGCCCAACTCGAGCCGTAGTGGTTCAGGGCGAAGAAGTCCGCGCTGCCGTTGATCCGACGCCTCTGTTCCTTTGTGAACTTGGGCAACAGGTCGCCGAGTTCGGCACGCATCTCCGCGGGATAGTCGCCCGTGCCAGAGAATATGGGATCTGCGAACCACCCCAGGGTGAAGGCCAGGGCTCTCTGGCTGGCCTCGACGCTGGCGGCCTCGAGCGTCTTGGGCTCCGCCCACTCGCTGTTGAGAACGATCCCGATGCGCCCGCCCTGCGCAGGCTGGTACGCAGTGCGGTAACGTTCCACGGCCGCAGCGTGGGCGACCAACACGTTATGACCACCAATCCACGGGTCTCTGCCATGGTCGCTGAACAGGCCGTCCTGGATGCCGACCCATAGGTCGGTCCAAGGCTCGTTGAAAGTGAACCACCACTTGACCTTGTCACCGAACGATGCGAAGCAGAGGTCTGCGAACGCCACGTACGCATCAGTTATCTGGCCGTCGGGCACACCGTTCTCATCTCTCGACCACCATGCTGACTTGTTCATTGCTGGGTCAAGAAGGCCCTGCGGGAGGTCCCAATGGAAAAGCGTGACATACGGAGTGATGCCCGCAGCTAGCAAGCCGTCGATAAGGTTGTGGTACCACATCAAACCCTTCTCGTTGATCCCATCCTCTATCCTGCCCGTGGGGATCAGCCTAGGCCAGGATATGCTGAATCGGTAGTGCTTCAGACCCATGGCCCGCATGAGGGCAACATCACTCCGCCACATGTGGTAATGGTCGTCGGCTACATTGCCAGTAGAGCCTGGAAAGACCAAAAGGTACCGATACCGCTGCTCCCCGGACCTTTCCAAGGGTGCACTTTGACTAAAATTTCGAAACGAATCCCGCTGTAGCGGCGAGGGCCTCCTAAGATCGGAAGTTTGGGGGTGAGATCGAAGTGGAACGGACAGCCCCCCTACCGGGAAATCGGTTTCGGTTTCGTGTTCGTGCGTGCCGCGCGTGCGGGCGAGGCGAAGCTGCGTGGGCAGGCGAAGAGAAAATCTCCTCCGGCTGAGGCGCGGCCAGACCAAATGATTCCTGCCCGGGGGTTTGTGGCGCGGTGTCCCGCCGGTGTCCCGCCTCCGGCTGAGGCGCGGCCGGACCAAATGATTCCTGACCGGGGGCCGGTGGCGCGCGGTGTCCCGCAGGTGTCCCGCTGGTGTCCCGTCGGTGTCCCGATGATGGTGATGGTGATGATGACGATGATGATATTGATGATGTTGACGATGATGATGGTGATGGTGGTGATGATAATGTCTCGATGATGATGGTGTTGATGATGATGATGGTGCTGATTATGATGATGTTGGGGATGATCATGATGATGAAGATGATGGCGATGATGGTGCCCCGAAGATGATGATAAGGTTGATGATCCTGATGATGTTGGTGATGATGATTTGATGAGATGACGATGATAATGGTGATCTTGTGAGATCAATCGTGAGATCGGCTGTGAAATCGATAGTGGTCGTGAGATGAATTGTGACATCGATCGAATGGGATCGGTCGTGAGAGATCGATCGTGCGATCTGTAAAGAGATCGATTGCGGTATCGATCGTGATATCGATAGTGAGACCGACGATAACGACATCGCCGGTGAGAGCAATGGAGAGATCGATCGTGACATCGATCGAGTGGGATCGATAGTGAGATCGACAGTGAGATCAATCGAGCGAAATCGATCGGGGGATATCGATGATGAAATCGATGGCGGGGTCCACTGTGAGATCGATTGAGTGGGGCGTTGGGTCGGCCCCCCCCCCGTCAACTCTCTGACCACTCAAAAAATTTCGGCTCAAGGCCCCAGAGCCAAGTCGGACTCCATCAGCGGCCCGTTGGAGTCGGTGGTCTTGCTTTAAACGCAACCCGCCCGCGCTTGCCCGAGCCCCGCCCGCCGGCGCGGAAGCGCCGGCGCATCCCGCTCAGGGGCTGCAGATCGCATTGGACATCAAGGGCGCCGTGGAGTTTCTCAAGGAGAACGCTACTGGTGCACGCCAAAAGTCGGCCTTCGACTTCTGCGGCAAGTCCATCGGCTCCGGCACTTCCAAGCAAGTCGCTGAGAACGGCAACCCCCTAATGGTAGCCGAAGTGGAGTTCGCGGACGCTGGCGGCGGGGAGATCGCGGTGGCCGCGTGGGACAGGGCGCGCGAGTACTTTGCCCGCGCGCGCCCGGGGTCTGGCGTCGCTGCGCTCGGAAGCAGTGCTGCGCTTGAGAACGGCGAGGTGAAGATCAACATCTGGCCCGGGGCCCACATCGGCACCGCCGGCGATCGGGCCCAGTCTTTGACACGCTGCTTGGGCGCCACCAGTCTGTCGGCCGAGGTGCTCACCGCCCAGCGGGCGCCGTCTTCCGGCGGCGGTTTAGCGAGTGTCATGGAGGCCGCGGCACGCTCCACGTGCGCCGCGGCGTTGGCCGACGCGATTGCCCACCCCCAGCCCATCGCGTTTCAGATCAACTGGTGCCTCCTGGGCGCGCCGCCACAGAGGGGCACGATGCGCACGCAGGACGGTCGCCTCTGCCTCCGAAATTGCCGTCTTCGGGATGCCGCCGGGGGGGTGGATGTAGACGTGGTCACCGATGCCGCCCCGACACTCTACGACTGCTCGAGCGGAGAGGCACTTCTCCTGAATCGCTGCTGGCTGAGCACGAGCAACACTTACGGGCCGCCACGCTCGCAAAGGAAGGGCGCGATGCTAATGGCGCTGAGATGGCAGATCTGCGGGCGACGCTGTCCGCGGTGGGCGCGCCGCTTATCAGCGACAGCGTCTTCCGGCACTGCGAGGAGCACTCGGGCCGCAAGGCCGCCGGCTTGCGGAGCGCCGTGGCCTCGTTCCGCGCACAGAAACCGAAGAAGAAGGACCCGGGCCAGGCTTTGCCGGCCCGCGGGAGGGGCGGTTCCGGCGGCAACGCCTCGTCGACACAGTCGGGAACTCGGGGGCCCGCGGCTTCGGAGGCGGAGGCCGCGGCTGAGGCCACTGCGGCGGCGACCATGATCGACGCGGGCTTCAACGAGGTTGACTTCGCCCGTGCGTTGGAACAGACGTCGTTCCAGTTCCGGCAAGCGTCGGTGCTCCTGCTCAACGGCCTGGACGCGCAGCGCACACAGTGCGACGCACTCGAACGGTTCCGCCGCCATTCTGCCAAAACGGTCCGGGCTCTGGACTGCGAAGTGTCGGGGGGGGGGGGGCGACGTCCTGACGCAGTACTCGCAGCGCGCGCGCAATGAATTGCAGTTCGACGCGCGGGCCTGGGACCTGGGGCAGTATGCGGGCCGAGACACGGGCGCGTGCTTCCGGCTGTGCCTCGTAGCAGGCCTGGCCGAACGCGGGCCGGACGTCGTGGCCCAGGCCTTGCCGGGCAACGCTCCAGCACATCGAGCGGCAGGCCAACTGACAGCACAGGGTGTGCAGCGGTCTGTCGACGCAGGCATGCATCACTCGCCTTTGGGCGTGGTGGCGGAAGCTCTGCGGACCCGGTTCTGCGGCGGCGATGCCGCCGTGCTGCTCAGAGCCGACATGAAGAACATAATATACCCGGCCTTTGCTGGCCTGGATGTCCGGGGCCCCGTGCGCGCCGAGGCGCTGTGCACTCGCTGGGTACAGAAGCTGGCAGCCAAAGAGCACGCGGACGAGTTGGTGGTGATGTCGGCCGCCTTGGAGCTCGGCATCCGCATCTCTGTCGCCCCTTTCACTCCACCGACGGCGCTGGCGCAGTGGGCGATCCCGTCTAATGGGCCCAAAAAACGCCACCGTCGTTGTTCACATGGGCAACAATGATTTGAATTCAGTTTATCCGTCGCGGGAATCGCGATTGCGCCGGACGCCCGCACCAGACTTTGCCAGTGTGTCGCAGCTCCGCCTCGTTTCGCTGCACGCGGCACGCACACACGCTGCCCGGAGCTCGGCACAACGAGGAGGAAAGCCAAGCCACCCTGCCGAGCAAGAAGTGGGTGCAGGTGGTATGGGCTGCCCCAGGCTTTCCCAGCGCTTCCGCATTCCCTGACCAGATGAAGCGCATTTTCGCCGGCTTTCCAGCCGTTTGCCCTCTTCGGCTGGCGGTGCCTTCGGATGACGCCGCGAGCTCGAGAACGCAAAAAAAAACTTACGATGGCGGTGCGTCGTCGTCGACCGCCGAGGGGCCGCCGTTGACCAAGGTTTCGAGGCGATTAAAGCCGTGGCGACGACAGGGGCCTCAGGAGGCCTCGAACAAAAAAACGTCCTCGTCGTTCGCCGGCAGTGGGCACAGTTCCCAGGGGGGGATGGTACCAAGGCGCCGAAGAGCGAAGGGTGACGTAAAGAACTCGACACAATGGCTCCCAAGAGCCAGCGGCAGCAACGCACCAACCTCCATTGTTGCCCATTGCTGGGCCCCTTCCCCCCCCAACGTCCTTATCACCCGCAGGGTGGTCGTATAGGTAGAGCCTAAAGGTAATTACCAATGCCGCCGCTCCCTGGACCTCCCATGGGGTGCATTCTGACCAGACTTTCGAAGCGAATCCAGCCGTGGCGGTGAGGGCCTCCCGGGATATAGCCTAAGGTACCGATGCCGCTGCCCCCGGACCTCTCCTGGGGTGCATTCTGACCAAACTTTCGAGACGAATCCAGCCGCGGCTGTGATGGCCTCCCAAGATAGGGCCTGAAGGTACCGATGCCGCCGCTCCCTGGACATCGCCCCCGGGTGCATGCTGACCAGACTTTCGAGGCGAACCCAGCCGTGGCGTGGCGGTGAGGGCCTCCCAAAAGGCCCCGAAGAAGGCGAAAGCGAGGGTCAGGTCGGGCGTGTCCCCCTACAGGCGGATTTGTGAGGAAAACATTCGAGACACTAAAACAAAAACTAAAACATGCCCCGGAAATCGTCCCCAAACTATGTTTTAACTATTTGGTAAGATTCCTCCTGTAGCGAGGGACAGGCCCGACTTAAGACCAGACTTTCGATGCGAACCCAGCCGTGGCGTGGTGGCGAGGGCCTCCCAGGAGGCCCCAAAGAAGGCGAAAGCGAGGGACGGGCGGCGGCAGCGGTATCGTTGGCGGCGCGCACAGGGGTGATGGGGGAGGGGGGGGGGGGCTTCTTAGAAGGAGGCTGCTTCTCAGAAGGCGCCGGCCATACATCTGCAGATAAGGCCCGCGCCGTCTAAGAAGCACGGGTGTTTCTAAGAAGCCCTCCCCCCTCCCCCAACCCCCCTCTGCGCGTGGCTGAGAAGAGCCCTCTCGGGCCCTCTTCTTGGAGGCCTCTTGGGGCCGTTCTCTGGGCCATCTTGGGTCGTCTTGGGCGCCTCCTGGTCCGTCTTGGGGCTCTCTTGGAGCGTCTTGGGCCCTCTTGGGGTTCTCCTTGGAGGCCTCTTGGGATCCTCTTTGGAGGCCGCTTGGGTGCTTCTAAGAAGCCCTCCCCCCTCCCCCCGCCCCCCTCTGCGCGCGGCTGGTCTTGGCACCTCGCGCCCTCCTTTGAGAGCCTGCGCTCTGCATGCCGGCCGCGGGCTCGCACGGCGCGCTCCTGCAGCAGTAGCTGCAGTCCGCCCCGGGCATGCCCACCGTGTCCTCGGCCACACGTACAGGCGCGATTATACTCCCAATCTCTTGTGAAGCGACCCCCCCAAAAAAACAACCGGACCCCCCTCCAAATGCGACCTAATATTCCAGACCCCCCTCTTCGACGGGGGGCCTCAATAAGCCGGACCCCCTAGACTCCAATCCAAAGAAAACTCCCAATAAAACCGGAAACCGGACCCCCCGATTACAAAAAGGGCGACTTAAAAAACCGGACCCGGATGACGATAAATAAATGATTTGGAATAGGCGCGACCCTAGGCGTAAGTCGGGCCTGTCCCTCTACATGAGGAATAATCCAAAGATAATGACAACAATAGCCTGGGGACGATTTGTTCAATGTTTGCATACTTTCCAAGCATTTCGGGGGTATCTGTTGAATTCGTTCGTCCAAAATCTGGCTGTAAGGGGACACGCCCGACCTGACCCTAGGCAAGAGTGACCTGTGGTGCGCGGCTCGGGCGGCCACGGGGAGGGGGCCACCCGCAGGCGCGAGCAAGATGCTGCTATCGCCTCGCGCTCGGCGATCGGGGAACCCCCCTGGGCCCGCACCAGAGGTCTCTCTGGCGAAGGGCCACTCTTAGGTAGTGCGGCCGATGTCCGCGCCGGTGAAGACGTCCCAGACCGAGGCGCCACGCCCATCCTCGCGGTAGGCCCCCTCGACCTGGTACGCGGCGGTGCCCACGCCCCACACGAAGCCCTCGGGGAAGCCCCCGGAAGTCGGGTACTCCGTGGGCCACCGCCCGGCGCAGTACGGGAGCGGGTAGTCTTCGAGGCAGACGCTCGTGGCCATCTCCCTCGTCGCCGTCGCTGCCGTCATGGGGTCCTCTCTTGAAGGGCCGATTTTCCACCACCACTAGCACGGGTAGGAGGAGGAGGAAGAGGAGGAGGTGGAGGAGGAGGAGGAGGAGGAATTGGAGGAGGAATGCGCACCCAAGACTCATCAAGAATGTTGGAAGACACCCTACCCCAAAACTCCCTCTTCTAAGGCCCCATACAAGAGTCCCTTTCCACTGAGGGAATTACCCCAGAGGGGGACGACCGTGTGAAAATCTTGGAGCGCACCAGAACACCATTTTCATGATTTTAATGTCACGGGTTCACCTGACTGTTCCTGACTGTTACATGACTTCAACACCGCGAATCAAAGTAGCTGTTGCGCCCAAGCAATCCTGAATCGTTTCAAAACCATTTCTGGTACTTCCACCACGATAACCAGAGAAGCTCTTGCAACATTGCAAACGAATTCACGCAGCGCTAAAGCGATAACCACATTTTGAAGAACAACGCCCTCATTCCGTGAAGCCCTGGCACAATTTTTGAAAACGAGCGTGCGCGGTGCTGAGTCCATAACAACCTGTTGAAAACCAGCCGTTCTCAATCCGCTAAGCTAAAACAAAAAAACGAATGCGCGCGGCGTCAAGGCGAGAACCACATTTCTAAAACCATCCGCCCACAATCCGTGAAGCTCTTGCCATTCTGTAAAACGACTGTGCGCGACCCGCCGGGTCGACGCCCTCACTGTGCTCGGAAACCCTGTCCCGTGGTACGACCGCGACGGCGGCGACCACGACGGGCGGCTCCCAGTCCACGGCACCTCCGGCGGGCGCGATGTCTTGGAAAAGACGCGGCGTTTCCTGCAGCACTTGCGACAGCTACGGGGCAATGGGCTGTCTGCCGAGGGAGCCCACACCCTCTTGCGCCCGTGCGCGCAAGGCTGCGCTACCCACCTGCCCCAGGCCAATTACGAGACCGCGTGGGCGGGGCAGCTGGACGACCTCCTCTGGGGCGCCTACGAAGAATGTGCGGGTTTCGCATTTGACGGTTCGCAGCGGGAGCAAGCAAAGCTCGGGCTGCCCGGCGGGGGTTGCGCCTTTCCGTCAGCTCGAGACACAGCCAGGCGGGCCTACCTGGGCAGCTGGGCACACGTCGTCCCCAGCGTCGCCGCTTGTCTCGGGGCCACATCCTTGGAAGTGTTCTGTCGAGGTGCCCCCGCGTTGCCCAGGACATGAGGAGCGCGGAAGCCGAGCTCGACGCCCAAGGGGCGAAGGATGGTCCCATTGATTGGGGAAGCTACTTGGTGGAGCCGCGAGCCAAACTGCAAGGCTACTGGGGCAAGCGCACTTCAGCGCACAGACGGACGCGGTTTCTGAACACCTTGGGCGAAGACGACCGGGTTGCCCTCCGCGAGAGCAGCGGCACCTCGGCGGGGATTTGGCTCTTCCCACGCCAGGAGGGGGGGCGCGCCCATCCCTGCCGCCCACTGTCACCTGGGCTTGCGCAAGCGCCTCCGTGCTGACGTCTGTACGCCAGGGGCGCCCTGCCAACACCGCAAGCGAGACAGCACGATATGCGGTGAGCCCCTGCACGCGAAGGGCTGGCACCCGTTGAAGTGCGGCTGCGGGGGGTCTCGCGACCACCGCAACAACAGCCTGCGATACTGGAACGCGATCTTCCACCAGGCACAGACGGGGCACGTGGCGATGATCGAAAAGCGGGTCCCAGCTTGGGACCGGGCGCTGCCACTGGGGAGCTGGAAGAAGCCCGCCTCGACGTGGCTACCCGCGACGCCGCCACCGGACAGCCTATCTACGCTGATTGGTCTGTCATCTGCGCACACTCTGACAACCTCGAGCGCAGGTGGGCACGATCCAACAACGACGGGCTGGCCGCGTCGCAGGCGGTGGGCGTCAAGCGGAATCGGTACCCTCCGTCGGGAGGCGAGCTGGTCCCAGCCGTCTTTGGAAACGGGAGAGCGGCCTGCGGATGAACTCGTTTCTTTCGTCCGCTTTTACGGCCAGAACCTGCCTGACGCGGAGCGGTCGGCTGTAATCGCCACCGCGTGGCGCCGCATCCAGCGCACGCTGGTGGTGGGCAACGCCGAGATGATCCTCAGCGCCTGCCAGGTGCCGGCGGCGCACGCCACGCCTGCCTCAGCAGCGCCGCCCTGCGTCGCCCGCTGCCGCCGCACTTAAACACAGTCCTTGCCTCCATAAGGGCTCCCAACTTCGCGCTTCGCGCTGCGCGAAGCGCGAATAACTTCGCGCTCTCGCGCCGCCCTCCCAAAGGGAGAATAGGAGGACGAGGAGGAGGGGGAGAAGGAACGAGGACCGCGAAGCGCGAATAACTTCGCGCCCTCGAGGGAGCCCTTGCCTCCATGCGGCGACGACCGCTCAACATCCAGGTTCCGAGCCGCCCCGCGCCCGGCCATTCGCCGCTCGATGACGCTGCCGCCCCCGCGGCCACCTTTGCGCTGGACCGCCCGACGTCAGCAGCGCGCTGCCCCAGAACCACTTCCGACGCCCCCGCCCCCGCCCGCCCCCCTGCCCGCCCCTCCTTCCTCTGGCTGGCCGCCCCTGCATTGCATTTTTGTGTTTTCTGCCTTGAAGCTGGATTTTTTGGGGTGCGCGTCCTGTCGCGGGCACCTGGGCGGGATGTCCCCCCCCCCGTCCAGGTGCCGAAAACCCCGCAACTGGATGGACACGCGCCCTAACAATTCATAATTGGACTCCGGCCCGATATGCCTGGCCCCGGTGGACACCAGACCTACAGTGGGTCTGGTGCCGGGGTCGCGGATTCAGAGAGGAGGGGGAGGGGGACGAGGAGGAGAAAGAGGAGGAGGAGGAGGAGGAGGAAATGGAGGAGGAGGAGGAGACGAGGAGGAGGAGGAGGAGGAGGAGGAGGAGGAGGAGGAGGACCTCCCCATCCTCCCTAGCTTCTCTCCCGTCCTACCTTTGCTGCTAGTGGTGGAAAATTTGCCTACCATCTCTCGGGGGGCCGCGATGGGGGGGAAGGGGAAGGCGCAGAGCGCACCAGCGGAGGAGCTCCAACGGGGGCAACAGAGAATGGCTGGGACTGGCTTCTCAACCTGGGGTCGCTTCCCGGCGGCCCCAGGCCCCAGGACGGGCCCCCCGAGCCCGAAAGCGAGTACCTCCTCCTCCTCCTCCTCCTCCTCCTCCTCCTCCTCCTCCTCCTCCTCCTCTTCCTCGTTCTGCTCCTCGTCCTCCTCCTCCTCCTCCTCCTCCTCCTCCTCCTCCTCGAAGATCCTTGCCCGTTTCTGGCGAGCATCCAGCGTCGCCGATCCTCCTCTTCCTCCTCCTCCTCGTCGTCCTCCTCCTCCTCATCCTCCTCATCCTCCTCCTCGTCCTTGAGCGACCGCGGCGTCCCAGCAATGCAAATAGCTCGACATCGACCGATTTCGGGGCACCGGCGGCGTTCAGCTTTGCACGCCCGCGCCGGGGATGCCGCCGCGTCGGCCACGACGCGCGCCTGCCAGGCGTGCCCCGGTCATCCGATGGGAGGAAGCATCGACCTGGCCGACGTACTCCCCTAGATGGGCACTTGCGCTGGTCCCCTCGGGTTTCGCGGGACAGGTGCCCACTTTGGGAAGGGGGGTGATTTTAGAGGGCAGAATATCAACCCCGAATATGAATGAGGATCCCGACGAGCGAAGCCGTTCAGTACACGCACCATGGGAAGGAATGGCCCAGTGGTGATGGGCATCGGTCAGACGATCCCGAAGGAGGCCTGCTCTCTGGGGGAAAACCTGGACCTGCAAACGGCGATCCATCGCAGAGAAATCGGCGATAAACCCTCGATCGCGAAACCGCTCGGTCCTGGGCGGGGTGGGCTATCGGGCTCCCATCGGCGATCAATGAACGATTGGGGGTCGATGCGCCCCCTCAGCGTATCGCCCCCGAGCGTTGCCCCTGACCGCAGGTGCCGACCCCTTCCCCAGAGCCAACTGTTCGCTCCGAGTCAACGCCTGAGGTGCCAGAGGCCTAGAAACGGACCCAGCGGCCGAAACCGATGATGAGAGACGCCCAGACTTTGTGACACATTGCATCGTCGGAGATCCGTGTACGCATCCTCCCTTACTCCCCGCAACGCGCGCGCGCGGCCCCTTCTTGCCCGCGCGCGCGCTCCGTAGCCGTGTCAGACCAGAGCTGTGGCATGCTTCCGTGCCTCGCGCCACTGATTCTCCTCCAGGGTGGCTCTCCGGGATGGCTCTCCAGGGAATCGGTCTGCTGAGCTAGGGCTCCCAACTTCGCGCTTCGCGCTGCGCGAAGCGCGAAGTGCGAATAACTTCGCCCTCTCGCGCCGCCTCCCAGGGGAGAAGAGGAGGACGAGGAGGAATCGGAGCCGAACCGCGAAGCGCGAAGCGCGAATAACTTCGCGCCCTCGAGGGCGCCCTTGGAATCGGTCTGCTGAGCCAGTCGGCCTGGTGAGCGGCACCCGTCGTGCGACGGCGAAGCAGTTCTGGGCGCCCTCCTTTCGGAGCAGGGCGAGCGGAGGCAACGCCGGCCAGAAGTCGATCCCCGGAGGCCCCAACGCACCGAGTGCCCGAGCTGCGGGCGGCCGTGGCGACGAGCCCCCCCCCCCCCCCCCCCGAAGGCCAACTAACGATGTTTCAACTCGCCCCTAATCTGACTCCTCGTCGTCGTCCTCGTCCTCCTCCTCCTCCTCCTCCTCCTCCTGCAAACGGAGCACTGCAGACATGCAGTGACAGTGAAATCCTTGCGACCGAAGAGCATGCCAAGGTGTTGCGAGAATCAGCCGACTACGCGGCTTCGCAAGTGCAGGTGCTGCGCACCACATCTCCATGATTACGGTCGTAATCTGGTCAGTGTTCCGAGGGCTGCGGCTTTTTGGAGATGTCGCACGGATGTGCAATGTGGCTGCTCGTTCGCTGCTCCTCTTTTAAGTTCGGCAGACTTTGAGCGGAGCTCGCAGCGTCGTGCAACACGACTTTCAAGGGCAAGCGAGAAAAAGAGAGAACGAAGGGCAACTCAACAGGACATCGTGCGACAGCTCGCTCGCTCCTCCTCTTCCTGGTTCCTGGTGGCTGGAAAAAGAATTGTTCGTAGCCTCCTCCTCTTCCTCCTCCTCCTCCTTCTCCTCGTCCTCCTCCCCCTCCTCCTCCTCCTCCTCCTCCTCCTCCTCCTCCTCCTCCTCCTCCTCCTCCTCCTCCTCCTCCATGGCGGGTTCCTGCTCGCCCTGCGCCGCCCCAACAGCCCAGGCCTTCAGCACGGGCGCGGCCTTGGCCTTGCCCTTGAGGCCCACCACCCCGTCGAGCGCCGCGCGGGGCGGCGCGGGGCCGTCGCCTGCCCCGCCCGCGACCGCCGACGCGCTGGCAGGGGATCGAACCACCATTAGCAGCACAATGGCCCCTGAAACCCTTGGGAGTGGCCCCTGGACATCTGTTTCGGCCTTGTCGCTCAGGGCTGGAGTCAGGGCCACATCGCAACAAAAGCGGGTGGTTGAGAGGCCCAAAACATGAGGAATGGGGTGGCCTTTGTCTTCGGGCGTATCGGACCAAGCCACCCAGACTCTTTCTCCCCCAGTGCAGAGACGGGGGCCCAAATGAGGTTATGCTTTTGTTGTGGTATTCAACAGCGACATCCGCATGAATTTGCGGAGCTCCGCGCGGATTTCTCGGATCGGCGCTGGGGCCCACTGGCGGCGCCTCCAACGCCTCCCCTGCCGCGCTCCGCCGCCAGGGAGGGAGGTCCAGTGCCGATATGAGAAACCCGCGCGGACCTCAAAAAACATCCCCAAACAGTGCTTTCATTCAAGGGTGCGAACTTATCCTCTAAGAAACTGGGCCTGGTTGGCGGTCTGGCGGTTCCGTGCTCGCGTGCTCGCCGTCGCCAACCCGTCGCCTCCCTGTCGCCGCCCGTCGTCTGGGCCCGGCTTGCGGTCTGGCGGCTCCGTGATCGCCGCCGCCGCCCCGTCGCCGACTCGTCGCCGCCAAGGACTGCACCACGCAGATTCTCATTTTTACCAGAGAACTCGGATCCAACCCCTTTCCCAAGGGTTAGCGGGCCACCCTTTTCACATTACAATATGCTTCTGTTTTGCCCCATCGCCCATCCTCAATATGCGCTCCCACCATCCCAGGCGATCCCAGTATCGCCCCCGCTTCATCCCAATAAAATGATACTATGTGCGCGCACTCGATATTCAACCATCAGCAATATTCAAGAATCCCTTGCCGAAAACGGACGAAGTATACACGCGCGCGTCGTCGTTTGTGCATGTCAAAATCCTTCAGCATCCCCTGGCTTCGAAAATCTACCCAATCCGAGAGTCCAAGCACACATATGAACACATGAATTCGCAACAGAGCGACTCAAAAGAAGCTTGCGCGCGCGCCTTTCCGAATTCAAAACAAAACCACGAGTTACGCTCTAAACTGGCTTCGCTCGCGCATGTCGAAATCGTTTGACCGCCTTTTTGCGCGCGTGCTGTCGCAAGAATCCTGTTGCAAACAAGCTGGCGAAATCCACCTGCACGCGTCGTCGCGCGCGCATGCCGAGATCGTTCAACAACCCTTGGTTGCGCAAAGATTCCAAAGCCGAATTCCCCGAATCCAAATTGAAAAAATATGGTTTCGCAGCAGCCGTTCACAAACAAGCATGCGCACACGCGTTCTTGAGAACCCTTGAGAATACCAGCAGTTTTCTGCATATGCATGGAATTCTGCCCGACGGCCAGTCGCGCCTCATGCCGAAATCATGCGAACGCCCTTGCGCGCGTGCTGGGGGGGGGGGCGCGATCTGTGTCAAATCAGACCATGCGGGCCGCTCTCGCGCGCCGGTCGCGCGCGCATGTCGAACCCCTTCCAAAACCTCCATCGCCGTCGCGAGGACGCCGTCATCTCCGCCGGCGTGATCAGCATCGGCGCCGTCACTGGCCGTGCCGTCGTTGCTGTCAGCATCGCCATCAGCATCGCTACTGTCATCATCGTGTCTATCGTTGACGACGTTGCCATGTAACCGCGCCCGCCCAAACTGCCGACTCGCAGTCAAGTGCCCGCTGGGATGTGCCCAGCAGACACCGCCACCGCGGCCGCGTCGGTCGCGCCAAACTTGCTGGCCGCTGCGCGCGCGAGCATGCGCGGGCTAGCGCGGGTGCAGAGATGCACCAGCCAACACCAAACACTCATCGAAATCGCCGCCGCATGGGTTTTGCAAAAAAAATCCGAGTAGGTGGGCGGGATGATTCCGCAAGCAGTTGACAACTCACTGCGAACAAAAGTGCATTCTCCTTTCTAAACAGAGAAGGGACTCTACCCCCTCCCCCCGGCGTTATCCGTTCCCCTTTTCGGGTATGTAAATCACGTATGATTCTGACCACATGTCCATCCGAAATATGCTTTTACAGTACCCCGGGGAGCCCGCATCGACCCACCTTTTGTTCTTTTCTAGCATAGGTAAGACTTGTTTCATGAACCCCTTGCAAAAAATGACGAAATGCACACGCGCGCGTCGTCGCGCGCGCATGCCGAAATCATTCAACAACCTTCGGTGTCGGAAGGGTTTAGCAATCGAGCTTCCAAGAAAAACCTACAACAACACAGGGTTTCGCAACACTGATTTGCTAAAAAAGCTTCCACGCGAGCTCTTGCGAAATCTTGAGGCAACCATAGGCTTTTCAATATGTTCACAGCATGCTACCAAACGGGCTTCGCGCGCGCATGTCGAAATCTGTCGAACGCCCTTGCGCGTGTGCCGACGCGAGAATCCTCTACAAAAAACGGGACGAAGTGCAGACGCGCGCGTCGTCGCGCGCGTATGCCGAAATCCTTCACAACCCATCGGTTTCGGAAGGGTTTCAAAATCGTGTGTCCAAAAAACCTACAAAAAAAGACAAGGTTTCGCAACACGGATGTTCAACAAAAGCGTGCGCGCGCGCTCTTGCGTCGTCGCCGTCGTCGTCGTCGCCGTCCGTCGCCTACGTCGTCCTCTGTCTTTCCTCGTGTTCGTCGTCGTCGTCCTCTTTGGCGTCGTGGTCGTTTCCGTCGTCGTTGTCGCCGTGGTCGTCCTTCCTCCTCCTCCCTCGTCGTCGTCGTCGTCCGTCGCCGGCGTCTCGTCGTCGTCCCTGCTATTTCGTCGCCGTCGTCGTCGTCGTCGTCGTTTTCCCTCCTCCCTCGTCGTTGTCGTCGTCGGCGTCGCCGTCCTTCCTCCTTCTTCGTCATTCGCGTCGTCGCCGTCCTTCCTCATCCCTCGTCGTTGTCGTCGTTGTCGTCGTTGTCGCCGTCGTCGTCCTCCCTCCTCCCTCGTCGTCGTCTTCGTTGGCGACGTCGTCGTTGTCTTCGTCGTTGTCGTCGCCGCCGCCGTCGGCGTCGTAATCGTCGTCGTCGTCGGCGTCGTTGACGTCGTCGTCGTCGTCGTCGGTGTCGTCGTTGTCGTCGTCGTCGGCGTCGTCATCGTCGTCGTCGTTGTCGTCGTCGTCGTCGTCGTCGGCATCGGCGTCGGCGTCGGCGTCGTCGTCGTCGGTGTCGTCGTCGTCGTCGTCGTTGTCGGCGTCGTCGAGGTCGTTGGAGACGTCGTCGGTGTCGTCGTAGTCGTTGTCGGCGGCGTCGTCGTCGCTGTCGTCGTCGGCGTCGCTGTCGTTGCCAAATGCCATTTGGTACCCACCGTCACGGTCTTAAGAGATTTTGCAAACCAAGTTGCGGGTGGGTGGGTGGGATGTTTGCGCGAGCAGTGGAGTGAACAACTCACTGCGAACAGAAAGTATTTGCACCACATAGATTGCACCACGTGGAATGCACCGCATAGATTTAGGTCGGGCATGTCCCCTTACAGGCTGATGTTGGAAACAAAATCATCAAACAGTACTCCAAAATGGTCAGATAATAAAGAATCGTCCCCAGACTATTTGGTGAATACGCAGATCACACCACATAGATTGCACAACATATGTTGCTGGAAACACATTGTTTGGGGTTCCCCTTAGCTAGCATGTATGTGTATGCCATTGCTTGTTCTGCGAATGTGGTCGTCGCCGTGGTCGCCGCCACCGTCGCCGTCGCCCGTCTCCCAGATTTTCCGCCTCCTGGGGCCCTCGCTGGGCCCAGTGGACCGTCATGAATGTGTCTCTTCCATCTCAGCTCAATCGCTGAATGCTCGAAGCACGCACCGACGTGAGAATATGGTACCACAGCGGCAAGATGCACAGGTCGCGGAGTACCTCTTGGAGGCGCTGTGGAACATGAGTTGAGCTATTCAATACATGAGCTGGACGGCCCCTGAGGGGGCGTCAGAAAGCAACTCGGAATTACACGTAGGTCCCGCGGAAGGGGTGCAACCCTCCGGGGTCCACGTTGCGAACCAAACAAAACGCGACGTATGTCTGGGGGCTTGGGAATTGGGGCGACTATCGAAGAAGGGCAACGACATGATCAGACACTTTCGGAAGTCCGCGTGGATCTCTCGGATCGGCACTGGGTCCCCCTCCTTGGCAAGCAGAGCGAGTCAGGGGCAGCGTCGGAAGCGCCGACAAGGGGGTCAATCGCAGATCCTCAAGTCCGTGCGGATTTGCCACAACTCCTGTGCATGTCGTCGTTCCTTTGGATGCATGTCGTCTTTCCTTTGGAATTTCTTTTGGCATGCCACGAAATGTTCTCTGAACCCAAACATGGTCAAACAAGTTCTTAGAACGTGAAGCCAATGTGTTAAAACAGAACAGCCCAAGCCATAAATGTTCTGAGAACAGATCGTGCAGACCACAGAAGGTTCTTATATAGAACAATCTTTGGTAGGCCTATAGGCAAACCAGGCCGCTTCGCCGTTGCTTGATTTCATCTGCCACGACTGCCGCCTTCGCCTGTCCCGTTCGGCCCGCTCCCGTCGGGGAGGGCACACGCAAAAGGAGCATCGTGGGAAAACCAGACGGTGCCAGTACCGCTACTCCCTGAACCTCTCGCGGGGTGCGCTCGGACCTGAACTTCGAAGCGAATCCAGCGGTGGCGACGAGGGCCTCCGAGGAGGCCCAAGAAGGGGAAAACGAGGAGGGAGTAGAGGTATGGTTCGGTCGGGCGTGTCCCCCTACAGGCGGTTTTGGGGCGAAAGATATAAAATCGTCGAACAATGTTCCCAAATAGCCCCAAAATATGCAAACAATCGTCCCCAGAACATTTTTATTTTATTTGTTTTGAGTATTCCTCTTGTCGAAGGGCGCGCCCGACTTACAGGTACGGGTACCTTTTCCGCCTCCGACGTCGAGGCCGAGGCTCCGAAGGCCTCCGGACCCCTCCCTCCCGGGCCCCCCCCCTCCGCTCCGCGGGCGGGGCGCACGTTTAGGTCGGGCCTGCCCCCCATACAGGGGGATTTTTGAGCGAAGCATCAAAACCAGTCAGACCAAATGTC